GCCTATACTCATAGAATCTGGGGTTACAGTACGTAACCAACGTTTTCTTTCCGGTCATTCTGTTTTAGATTTGCTGCTCTGGAATCAATGTTCGGTTGCATGGCATGATTTCAGGCAAGCTTCAGCTGTGGGACAGACGTTCACTTGACTCTAGGATCCTTTGGTCTGCAGAGGAGGTCATGGTCGACTTACAGACTAAAAGGAGCCCAAGTCCTGTGGCTGCTAAACAAGCCTAAATCATCAACCCTCCACCATCGTGCTTCACAGTTACAATAAGATGATTATACTGGTATGCTGAGGTGTTTTTTGCCAATCATTTTGCTTTGCATTTAGAACAAACATTTCTCCTTTGGTCTCATTCATCCTAAGGATATTGAGCTTATTATATTGTGATTTATTCGGATGAAAACGTTACAAACCTGAGTCCAGCAGCCATGTTCTTTTAGAGAAAATAAACTTTCTCCCAGCAACCTTACTTCTTCAGTCTCTTTCTACTTGTCCTGTCATGAACTTTAAACTTTGAGCCATGGAGCTCTAGATTTTTTTGCAACTTCTCTATGCATTGCCAGGTCTGACCTTGGGGTGAGTTTACCAGGATATCCATCCCACTCCATGTCACAGTTTCTCAGTGCAAACCATAAAATAAGCATAACAAAAGTTACTTTGGACTCTATCAAACTGTGTAGTTTGAACGACTTTTCTTTAATAGTTTTCCAGATCTATTGATATTTAGTTCTGAAATGTAAGCATGCACTCAGTGTATACATAGCACTTTTATCTGCATACTTTTCTCAACAAATCTGAATACAAGTACCACAGAAATACATCAAATGTGGGACTTCTCGGTCCCAAGCAATACTTCTATAGAGTTTCTTATTGTTGACCTATTTTCAGTCACTTTGGCTGTTTCCACAGGTAAACAAGTGCAGTGTAGTGAGCAGCTGGTCTCACAACTTGCTTACAAGTTTTTAATCGGAGGACTCATGACCCCTCCATTTGAGAACAACATTACATGGACTTTTATGATTTTTTTGAACATTCTCCATGACATTGTAATGAATACCTTTAAACATTTTCCATTTGTGAATAATTGTTTACACTGGAGAATGATGTATTTTAAATTATTTGAAGATGGTTTCCAAATTGGTGGGCAGCAACATTTAAAAGTGAAAGGCTGCTATTCCTTCTGAAGTGCTATGGAAGCACCAAGAGTGAAAGTTTGATCAACTTTAGAACCTTCTAAAATCCAGATAGGTTTTATTGATCTGCTATATAAAACACTAAATTTTTGAAGATTATATATGTGTATACTTTGTATGTATATATATATATATATATATATATTTTTATATTTTTGTTATGTATATATATATATGTTATGTATATATATATATGTTATGTATATGTATGTATGTTATGTATATGTATGTATATATATGTATGTATGTATATATATATGTGTATATATATATATATATAT